CTGCTAATCCTGGATACATACTCGATCCTGGTATAGTAACATCTCTGATCGATCGATTTTTTTTAGGAATCTGGAGGGGACAGTGCCCCTACAGTGCTTTACTAAACCGCAGGGAAACAAAGTACGTGCAAAGCAAAAGAAAACAAAGAATAAACAAGGGGGTACAGGGAGATTACAGGAAAAAAATAAGAAACAAAGAAGTATAAAAAAAAAGATAAGGAGCAGGCAGCAAAAAGTATCATATCCCACAGCTTGTGTGTCCACAATTCAAATGATTCAGGGAGGCTTGACTTCACCCTGTAGGAGAGAAGCATCAATTCTTTGAAGAAGAATCTTCTGCAATCTTGCAAATTCATTCTAACTCCTTTGAAAATCATGTAATTTCAAGCTGTCCAGATTGTCCAACACATGAGGATTGTTGCCTCCATAAAAGAACTGCGAATGCAACTGGTCCTTGACCAAGGAGGTGACTCTTCTAGAAGCTATAGTTTATTGGAACACTAAGGTGTTGATGGAACTCCAGCACGTCCTTGCAAACTGACAGTCCAGAAAGAGAGATGTTGTGAGGTTTCTTCCACCAACAAGTTGCAGATTAAAGCACACGTACGGTTTGTAGGAGTCTCGATGCATGTTTTTTCTTCTTAAGAGATTTTTGGTACTTAGGCGGTCTTTGATCAAAAGCCAGAAATAAAACTTCGTGTTTGGGTTGACAATGACTCTTCCACAACCATTTGTAAGCAAGATCTATCTTTGGTCGATCGATTGATCTAAGTACTGATTAGTATCACCCTATGTCTCAAATTATATGTCGTTTTCTATTTTTTGAGGTACATAGCTTTTATTATAAGCCCCTTTGATGATGTGGCAACGTATTTAACAAGAGAGAGAAGTGAGTCATGGGTATGAAACTTTCTTAACATGATTATCAACTCTCTATGTGTCATTAAAATTAAATATCTATAAAACCATAGAATGAAACTTGCCATTTTTGAGTGGGTGTTTAATCCACGTTTTATTTCATTGTAGTCTTTGAAACAATCCAATGAAACTCCGTACTAAGTTTGGCCTAATAAAAGTTGTGTATGTAAAATAACAAAACAATCTACAAATTGGAACGGATGAGTAACAAAGTGCGTGGTTGACCAGCTTTACGATTCGTGAGGCGGAGGTGGATGCATGCGACTTTATTTTTTCCTAAACTCTAAAACAAACATCAGGGAGACTTTTGGGCTAGCTAGCTGGAACGGAGTGGAAGAAAAAAAAAGTGTGTGAGCAGAGCGTAACGGCATGGAGGGTCCGTTCCGGCGGAAATATCTCGTCGCTACAGCTTTTCTTTTCCGGTATGCAACGCAAACGCAAACGCAAATGCAGCACGCACACCTTTACAGACGCATGCATGGATGGATATCTCTCGATCTCCCGTCGTTGCCCCATCCCAGCCGCCTTTTTCCCTGCACAAATTAATTAAAAGCGATCGATATAGGAGTAGTGTGGTACACTACTTGGCAACTGCCAGGCATGTATATCAAGGCCTTTCAATGCGAGGAGGAACTCCAACTTTAATTCGCTGTGTTCTGGTGTGCTCACGGCCGGCGGAACGCACAGTCACTGACACGTAGGCCCGTGAACTCCGAGCTACGGAAGCAGAAGCTAGGTCGTCGCAACACATGCACCCATGACCCATGCATCTACTAGTGCACATTTTTTGGGGGCGTATTACAAATGGCTCTACTGTACTCGAGGACTAGAGCAGGGGAAAGAAAACCTAAATAGTTTCTTTGTCGGAAAGACTAGTGTATGGACTTCTAGTTGCGCGCGTCCGGACGTCCGTGCCTGCTCCGTCCTGGTAGCTCGGATTCACGCGCCGCCTGCGCCAGCTCTGCTTCCCGCGCCCGTGTTCAGACCACTCACTTCCGCTCCGCTGCCCACTCCGTCTAGATGATAAGGCCCCGTCTCTTCCACATCGGCGCCTCACCCGTCTCTTCCACACCTCTTCGTGCTCGCCTCTTTCACACCGGCGCCGCGGCCTGCGCCTCCTCCCCACATCGACGCCGCCATAGCTCTCGCACTAGCTCTCTCTTCCTCACTCAACAACCCTACATCCAGATCTACTTTTACAACACTCAGATGAAACAAATTGTAACATACGTCTGAAACAGATGAAACATTTGGAACATTCATTTGCAACATAGCCATTGCAACATATGCAACATCGAAATAAAACACTTGTAACATGCGTCTAAAACAGATGACACTACTACACAAACTTTACTGGAGGCGGGCGTTTTCGGTTTTCCGCGGCGGGCAAAGCCGTCCGCCGCGGCCTAGAGGCCACGGTAAATCGTGGCTTAACCGCGGCGGGCGGCTTTGCCCGCCGCGGTTAATCGAATTACCACGGCGGGCGGTGTAACGTGCCCGCCGCGGTAAATATACTTTTACCACGGCGGGCACGTTAGGATGTCCGCTGCGGTTAATCATTTAAAAAAAAAAAAAAAACCAGAGCCCGCCCGGCGAGCCGTTCTCGAGCCCATTGGCGAGCCCACCCGGCGACGGATCCGGGCTTCCCACCGCGATCCGTGCCGCCGGGAGGAGAGAAGAGGAAGCGGCCGGGCCCTGGCGTCTGGAGAAGCCGGCTGACACGCCGACGCCACTGCGCAGGCCGCCACCACCTCGCCGATCGCTCGCGAGGGGACCAGGCGAGCGCCTCCTCGCGGATCCCCGTGCCTCCTCAAGGATCCCGCCGCGCTGTGGTGGAGGGAGGCCGCCGCGCCGACGCGTCCTCGCCCGCCGTGGTGGAGGTCCCAGCGTCGTGGCCATGGTGGATCCCGGTGTTGTGGCCGTGGTGGAGATCCACCGCCGGATCCGGTCGCTCCACCGCGAGATCACACGGAGGAGGAGGTGCGGCCGCTAGATCCGTGGGGAGGAGGTCGCCGCCGCCCGGATCCGTGGGGAGGAGGTCGCCGGTCGGATCCGGTGGAGGAAGAGGTCGTCGTCTTGGATCTGAGAGAGAGAAGAGGGAGGAGTGAGGGAGATGGAGAGAGGAAGAGGGAGATGGAGAGGAAGAGGAGATGAACTCTTTGGATTTGAAACCCTAGCCCCAGCGCCGTCGTCATTCATGGAGGATCCATGGGGAGGAGGAGGCGCAGCCGTCGCCGTCGTCCCAGCGTGTTGTCGCCCCCACGCGCCCTCGATCCGTCGTCTGGAGGCCCTGCGCGCTCTTGGAGGAGTCCATTTGCTGCATCGAGGGAGAGAGAGAGGGGAGTAGAGGAGGAGGAGAGAGAGTGGGGGAGGAGAGAGAGAGAGAGTGGGTGAGGCGGGAGCCGATAGAGAGAGAGTGGGGGAGGGGCTGACGATGGTGCAAGGGATGATGGGTGATATGTTTTCAGTGAATCGATTTACCATGGCGGACATTGATTTACCGTGGCGGACGACTTAAGATGTATGCCGCGGAAAATAGTGTATTTACCGTGGCGGACATTTTAGATGCTGCCATGGAAAATCGATTTACCGTGGCGGATATTTTAAGATGTCCGTCGCGGAAAATAGGGCATTTATCGTGGCGGACATCTTAAGACGTCCGCCACGGTAAATTGATTTACCGTGGCGGGCATCCTAAAATGTCCGCCACGGTAAATACCCTATTTTCTGCGGCGGACATCTTAAGACGTCCGCCACGGTAAATCAATTTACCGTGGCGGGCAAAAATGCCCGCCGTGGTAAATAAAAAAATGCCCGCCTAGGTAAACCGTGGCATTTACCGTGACGGGCAAAAATAGGTGCCCGCCTCGGTGGCCTCCGGGGGGTGTCGCGCAAAATCATTTGTGTAGTAGTGTGAAATGTTTTTTAACAAACTCTTGCAACATACGTATATAACCATTGCAACATATGCAACATCCGGAAACTACCACTGCAACATCTGAAACATATCTCTGAAACATCTGAAACATGCGTTTTGCAATGTAGGGAAGGCCAGGGCCGATCGATTCTATGCATCGGGGTGGGAGCCGACAGCGTGTGAACACCACCAGCATCAGCACCAGCACCAGCGGTGGCGCACGAGCACCACCATCATCATCACCACTACCATCGGCCTTGGCTCAGCGGGGCAGGCGGCGCGTGCGAAGGGTGGGAACAGGCAGCGCGCACGACGAGAGGGAGCGAGCGAGGTGGAGTGGGACAGCAGCAGTGAGCGTGGAGTGGGGCGGGGGCGCCCGGTGTGTGACGCAGACGAGCAACGCGGGTGAAGGCGCGCTGGGCACAGCGTCGGTGAGCGGCGCGGGTGGGTCGGTCCGTCTGGTTAGACGCCCGTGGCGTATCACTGTCGTTGCTTTGTTGCATATTAAGCATAGATATGTGGACTACTTTGTGAGTGCACAACAGCACATGCTGAATTGTACGTACGTACATACATGTGCATGCCGTGGCGGAGATGAATCTATAAGCTCTCGTCTTTGGATGCAAAGATCGACGGAGATATTCATCGGTCGGCCATCATCAGCTGGGGTTAGGTGATTAATTAGGTCGGCGTTTAATTTGGGAGGGGCATGGCGATGCTCTGCTGCATGCATGTATCTATGTATGTATGCGTGCGTGCATCAGCAGCGCGCGCGGGAATGAGCATGATGATGACAGCATGGCCGTCTGAGCTCACCGCCTAACAAAGCCTGCCACCTGGCTTCGGCACAATACCCAAGAAAAGTCTCTCTTCCTCTCTCCATCTCTCTCTACCCCTACCTATCTCTCTCTCTCTCTCTCGCTCTAGCAGCAGGGCATCCACAGAAGTTGACCACCAGCGGCTCCTCCGGCCTGTTATATAACGCCCGCCTCTCGCCGCTCTCCAGCTTCTTCTTAATTTCCCTTGTATGATACAAGGTAGGAGTAGAATCGATCCATCTTGCAGAAGCAGCTCCATCTATCCATCCAGGCCTGCTGGGATAGCAGGACTGCAGGAGGGAGGGACTGGTCCCTGAGAGCGGCGCGGGCTGCTTGCCGCGACGACGATGGCCATCAACTCGCTGAGCATGGTGGAGGCCAGGCTGCCTCCGGGGTTCAGGTTCCACCCGCGGGACGACGAGCTCGTGCTCGACTACCTGGCTAAGAAGCTCGGCGGTGGCGCCGGCGGCGGAGGCCAGGTGGTGGTGAGCATCTACGGCTGCCCCACCATGGTCGACGTCGATCTCAACAAGTGCGAGCCCTGGGACCTTCCTGGTATGTGATAAGACGACCTAGCACTACCTTGTTGTTCCTGATAATTTTGTACATATGCCTGTCCTTAATTTCTGCCCAAGATCGATCGAGTTTTTGCCTTGCCAAGTTCTCTTAATTGCGCTGCGAATTCTTCTTCTTCCTCCTTCCTTTTGGGTGTTTTCCTTTTCCCCTCTCTGAGAGCACTATTCCCTTTGGGTTCTGATTTGTTATTATGTTATGTGTTCCTGATGACTAATGATTGATCTATCTCAAATAATGATTTTGTGCTAATCAAATTTTTTAATGAGATAGTAGTCGTACGATCTGTGATCCGTTCCAGACATATACAAGTCTACACCTTGCTTGTATCATCCAAGATACGGTTGCTGATCATATCTGTTTGTAATAAGGTTGCCAATCATGCATGCCCATGTCCTCCTGTTGGCTCATCGATCTACAAGAGATCTTAAAATAAAACCAGCTGCCATACCTTCTCTCCATTATTAGCTACTAGTAGTCATCGATCTATTCCAAGAAAATTCTCTTTGTTCCTTTCGCCTACATCGCTGCATGTTTCTCCTTCAAATGGCACAAAAGTAATACATACACTTATATATGTACTTCGATTCGATTAATTGCGCGCCACCGAAATCTAAGATGCATGAATATAACCACAAGTGTACTGCATATGCTAGTTGAAACTGTCCCACTCCGAGCCATAAGTGAGGCGACCATGACATCCTGCTGCAACTTTCACCGATCAACTTGCAAGATGCAACTATGCACCCATCCCATACCTCAAGAATCCCTTACTTTTCTTTCCTTCAATCGTCGCTTATCCCTTTCTTTTTCGCCCTCTTTTTAGGGTGTGCCCATGCCATCGTTTTTCTTTTTTTTTTTGGAACATTTAATTAATCTTCTGTATTTATGGATAGCTCCCTTCTTTTGAAAAGTCTTTGATGATCTAAGGGCTAAGGCATAAACAAAACCATGCATATAGTCAGACCATCTCGATGCAAATATATATTTATGTGCAACAATAGCTGAGGAGAGACAGTTTGCAAGAACTCTCTCAAATCCTTGCATGAATTCTGTTTAAAAAAAGAAAAGTTCAGCTGGATCGGAACTCTAGCTAGCTGTTTAACCTATATATGCATCCACAAAATCTACTGAGAGCTAAATTCACACGTCTTGTCTGCCTCCTTGTCGCCTTCCCTTTCCCCATATAACAGAAGGATATTCTCACTGCCAAGAGTTTGTTTGGCCCCATCTTGGCCTTCTATCCTCATCTGTCCCTGTTCCTGCCATGATATCAAATATTCTCTCGCTTTGCCTCATCCTTAAAGGGAATTAACAGCCAAATGGATGGGGACAAACACCAAAAGAAGGTCCCTCACTTTGCTACTAGTAGAATACTGCGGCAAAAAAATCTTGTCAAAATAGATTAAGACAATCAATTGGTGAAGAACATATTATTTTTCCTTCCTAATTCTGCTTTTATCCCTTCTCTCCATTATTACAATAACAAATACATGTTGGCTCTGGTTTAGCACAGTTTTTTAATCTATAGGATTAATGATTGTGTATTGATAGTATGTACATATGTTTACATCTAACCAAATGTGAAAATGATTTACAACATTATTAATTATCATTAACCTCGTTTGTTAGTTTATTAACTAACTGATTTTTGTTCTCAAATTCAGATATCGCGTGCATTGGTGGAAAAGAGTGGTATTTCTACAGCCTTAGGGATAGAAAGTATGCCACCGGCCAACGTACAAACAGAGCAACTGATTCGGGATATTGGAAGGCTACGGGGAAAGACCGTCCGATAAGCAGGAAAGGGTTACTTGTTGGTATGCGCAAAACCCTTGTGTTTTATCAAGGTAGAGCCCCAAAGGGAAAGAAGACTGAGTGGGTTATGCATGAATTTCGCATGGAAGCACAAGGTGATCCCATGAAATTACCTTTCAAGGTAACATAATGACTTGAATTTTCATTATTATGTGTCCTTTTTTAGTTGAACATGATAGTTCATTGTTTTTATTTTATTCTCGATCAGTTTCCCATCCGATGGATATAAAAATGCATCATATATCTAGCCAATGAGCAATACATAACACATACGTTGTAGGAAAACGATTTATTTGGGGTAATGAAATAATGGAGTTGGCCCCATCCGGTTTTCCTATGGATAAATTAAGCTAAACTATGGTTGTGAAATCCTCAGAAGCATCCCTAGTTTTCTTTTTCCAAATATTAATGGTGATCTTATGAGAAGTATATTTCAAAGATTTTGAGAAGTGCATATATATATATATCTGTGTGAACTAAAATACAAACATAATTTGTTCATGACACTTGAGGACGAAGTTAGTACTATATATATGCAGACTCTTTTTCTTCATTCATATTTGTATTTGCGTAATCACATGTACTGGACAATGGAATGCCAGCTCATTCTGCACATATGTGTCCTCTCGCCTATTCAAGAGAGAGAGAGAAAGGCACAAGCGCCAAATTTACTGTCAAGTTGACAAATTACTTAGTTCTTAGTGTTACCACGAGTTTATGTGTCATTTGGAGAATAAATAAATTAAAGTAAAGGCATATATGGTTTTGGATTAAGACATCACACTTCAATCGCTACATGGATTTACTGTTGAAAGAACTGATGGTCATAGTATTGTATTAATGCTAATTAAGAGCTTTACTTTTTTGTACTTGAGACTTTCTTTGGACCTGTTCGCTTCGCTGAAAAGCCATGACTGAAAGTACTGTTCGTTGATTTGTTGTGAGAGACAAACAAACAGGGCCTTTACTACTCAATGACTTGTCACTGTCATGCGCAGCAGGTTTTCTCTAGGCATTCATATCTCCCATCAATTTCTTTTCATTTTATAACAACACACACACATATATACTCTTCCTTAAAAATAAATAAATACTTCTCATGACTTCTTCACCATTTACTTATTATATATTGGCCTAATCCTCATCTGATTTATTTTTTTTATGTATGATATGATGCACAGGAGGACTGGGTCTTGTGTAGAGTTTTCTACAAGAGTAGGGCAACAGTTGCAAATCCACCCATAGAGAGTAGCAGCAGCTTCAATATTGATGCAGCCACAACTTCATTGCCTCCCCTCATTGACAACAACTACAATATTTCCTTTGACCAGCCTGGCTCATCAGTGCAAAACCTAGAGGGTTATGAGCAAGTGCCCTGCTTCTCCAGTAACCCCTCTCAGCCTTCGTCATCGATGAACGCTCCGCTGTCGTCTGCCGCTGCCATGGCCGATCCGGAGCAGCACATGGGGAAGTCAATAATCAAGGACGATGTTCTCATGAGCCAGTTCAGCAGGTTCGAAGGCAACGTCAAGAGGGAGGCGCCTCAAAGCAATTTTTCTCAGGATGGGTTTGAGTACTTAGCGGAGAGTGGATTCACACAGATGTGGAATTCGTTCAATTAATTGATTTTATAGGAAGATTATTGCCATGGAGGGTGATATACGGACCGGATCGGAATTTCTCAACAACAAAAGGAGGGATAGATGTGTGCTAAAGAGGGCTTGGGTGTGTGTGCCTCCTCTGTGTGGTATTGCATGTAGCTGTAGTAGGTATATATATACATATAAAGGAGAAATGAGAGGAGATATATATGTATATATGCCGTATGCCATCAATGACGACAGATGTAAATACATTATTTGTGTACTATGGCGCAGTTAGAAGAAAAAAAAACAGCGCGTGATGGCAAACCAAGAATAGAATCTTATTCATATAGTCCTGTGTCTATTATTCCGTTATGTGTATGCATGTATACAGCTTGCTCTAGACAGGTCGATATGTCTATTATTGTGCTATATATATACTATCAGGTTCTGTCCCTTCTGAGGGAGGTTTATCCTGTATTGTCAATAGGCACCCATTTTATATTTTCATGGTGTCTGATATAGAATATCAAAAATTGGACAGAGTTTTTTTAATTCCCAGTTCATTTTGTGGATTTATTATAGAAGTATAGAACGATTCTCACTTGAGACAGTTTTTAACTAGTAGCTCGAGCTCGTATTACTCGAGGTGTTCTCTTTATAACCTGTTGCAGAGAACTTCAGAAGAACAAGTTGAAGTTATATATTCAGTCAAAGTGGATCACGAAATCGCCAAAACCTGTACATATATACTGGGATGGATTAATAATTTGAAGATTTCTTATGCAGACGAAGAATCCTCTCCTCCAAGTGGACAAAAGGAAAGACAAACAGAGTCATAGGTGGTTGTTCTCGTTCTTCTAATATATACTGCGAAAGGGATTTGAGTTCACACGTATCTGCTCTTGATATACATATATATGATCCCTTGACCTTAGATATATAGTAACTGTTTACTAACATATTTATCAATTACCACTAAATCTTCAACAGGCTGAGATTACTGGCAGAGCAGGAAACCGTCAAGAAAACACAAACTATATATATAAACAACATGTGTCACTCAATATAATGCATGATAAATCTGCAAGTACACAAGCTAGCTGGCCAGCTAATCTGCCATAAACTAGCAATATTTTTCATTCCCTGATGCCAAGTTGATATGCCTCCATTCGACCCTATGGATATGCAAGCTGGGTATATAGTAGTACGACTAATCATTCATGGATGCGTGTGAAAATTCCAAGCTTGTACTTTCTGTGGACTTTGATGGGGTAGACTTGTGATCTCCTAACAGCGTATTAATGGTTCAGAGCTAGATTTTCCAAACTAAACGGAGGAATTCGATCATGTGTGGTTTAGCCTGTACTTGTATCTGAAGAATGAACTACTAGCTTGTTATAGTTCCAGTACGGTGCACACATGGGAACAGTTCGTGCATGGCGTGGTCGATCTGTAGCTGTTGCGAATTTGCTATTTCCTATATTCAGGACGTATGTATATATAATATGATCTCACCTATGACTGACGAAGTGACAAGGAAAGCATGGAACCCACAACCCAGTACCAGAGAGCACGGCCATGGTGATGGAGTGCATGGCGTGCGGGTCCTACCTGTGAATGTCTTAGAGTGCCCTGAATAGTGAGAGACAGACAGAGATGCTAGCCATCCGACAAAAAATGAAAAATGATATTAGGTCAAATAATCCAGAGTTTGGTCAAATTTATATAAAATATATTATGACAAATAAGTATTATTAGATTTGTTACCATATATATGTTCTCACATTATACTTGTTTGGATATTATTTTCTAGAAATTTAATTAAATTTAAAAATAATTTGGTTTTGCTAGACCTAAAATTACTTTCTTACGCTAGGGCTTTCCCTGACTCGATGCTTAATTCTTCTCCCCCAACCACCTGCATCTACCTAGCTACCTACGCACACCAACTAGCAAGTTAGCTCTTCCGTTAAGCTGTGCACTGCACAGAGATCGACTACAGCGACAGTTTCTGTTCATTCGTACGGCTGCTACCAACTGATTAGCCTTTCTGATTAGCCAGCCAAGAAGCACGCACTGCCGGCCGGTCAGTACTAACAACTCGACTGATCATGCATTGGCTGGCTTGCGTGTGTAGTTTTTGTTCAACAGTCCTTGTCCTTCAAATCATTCCAAACAATAGTTTACAGAGATCGATCAGTACATCACTGTTTTTTCTACTACTGCTGCTACGCATAATATGAATTGAGAGATTATGCAGGTGGTTGCTGGGGAACGAAGACGCTGAAACAGGAATGTTCCGTTGGCCAGTCATCAGGTCAGTTTGTGATTAATGAGTCATCATCTCTCCTAATCTCCTTTTCAATGCATTCTGGGCTCTGGAAGGTGTAGTATACAATTGTACGTATCATGCAGCACTGCGTGAAACAAGCGGTGAGAATTTGGTGGTTTGCCAGCCCCCGTCAGAAAAATGATAGGGCGTATCTTCTGGTCATTAGAGAGAATAGACTGTACTAATTGAAAATGAAATAGGAAAGCTACTAGGTGATGGGGATGGGGATAGAGTTGATTTGTCCGGACATGCTTGATTTAACAAGAGAAAGAAAATGAAATTAAATAAGCTTAAGTTTTTTTTGGTTGCACGAAAAAGAACGAAATTGTGGTCGTTTTTTTTTAGATAAGATGATATAGGAGCTTTGTCAAAATGCTATCAGTTGTTGTGATCTGGACTACCAACAGTCCAACACTAGTGAACATGTCATAGCTATAGTCTAAACTCGGAAGTCTAAAACTAAGCTAGAAATGGGAATATAGAGGTGAATTTAGTTTTGGTGATTAACCAACACAAGTTATTATGACTAACCTATGCTTTGTAGGAGCATTAATTTAAATTAATCACAAAACCAGCTACAATGTTTTTCTTGGCCCCAGTTACCCGATTCTAAGAATTGGATGCAAATGATATTCACAAAGGCTAATGATTTTTTTGTAGTTCTAAGTGCCACTTAATGTTGAGATGCACTTAGTAGAAGTAGAATATTTGTCTTTGTTTTTGTGTGGCCTTACTATAAGGGGGGCTAAGATGAGTAGATTATTGGCCTAAGGCTGGCTTGGCTAATAGTGTTAGAGTGATGCACACTTTTGAAAGTTTGGATTAGGTAGCTCAAGAGTGGCCTAAAAAGGGTGATAGCTCACTTAGGAGCTTAAATAAGTTGAATTGCACGAGTACGTTTCAGTTGAAACGGGATCAATAATAGCATCCCAGAATGCATTAAAGCGCATGTAAGGCCACTAGATCATCTAATGCTTACCATATGATTCAGTGAAGGAGCTATGACTTGAAGAGTGACTTGAAGTTGTGAAAGGTTTTATATGTCATTTGGTAAAACTTATAAGCTACTTGTGATCAAAACAAGCTGAAACTAACAACCACGACAGTTTCTCTGCGTCTTTTGACGCGCTTATTCTCATCACCCCAATTTGTACTAAAAAGCATATATTGGGTCAGCTGTGGACCACACCTAAAATCATGGATGGGACCAACCACTACTGGAAACGCGTGCTTTGCCGAGGGCCTGAGGCTTTGCCGAGGGCCAAATCTCGGGCACTCGGCAAAGACACTCTTTTGAAAGCCCTTGAAAGAAGCGGCCCTCGGCAAAGAGGCCTTTAGGGTAGTGCTGCCTCGGCAAAAGGCCCACGGCAAATCAAATCTTTGCCGAGGGCCGCCCTCGGCAAATTAGGCCCGTTGGGTCACGGCGGCCATTCCTCGTCAAGCTTTGCCGAGGGCCACCCGTTAGGCCCTCGGCAAAGGTTTTTTTTTTCTGTGAAACCATGTTCTTCGGCAAAAAAAAAATTTAAGTCTTTGCCGAGGGCCCTAAACCAGGCCCTCGGCAAAGATTTTTTTAAAACCAGTTTTTCGGCCAATTTTTTTTTATAAATCGCCTTTGCCGAGGGCCCGAGGCTAGGCCCTCAACAAAAAGCCCTTTGCCGAGGACCGAGGATAGTCCCTCAGCAAAGATATTTTTTAAATCTTTGAAAGCGCAGCCCTCGGCAATTTTTTTGGTTTTTAGCCAGATTTTTTGTGGTGCTACAATACATTGTTTTGAACTCAATTTTAAAATTTAGGCCAATTTTGATTTTGTTTTGTATATTTCCTTAATTTATTTGATTCTTTGAAGAATATGTCAAATTTGACTGCAGTGCATGGAATATTGCAATGTAGTGTTTCAAAAATGTTATTCATGTTAATTGGTGCATGTTGAGTCCCTATCCACGAACTAAGCATCAAATTTTCACGCATCAGCGTAATATTGAAACTTCTTGGAAAAGTGTTTTAAAATTATATAAAATCCATCTGAAGTCCGAAAATCACGAAACTTGGCGAGATGTCATGTTATCAAGATGTAGGTGTGGTAAAAAATTGAGAAGGCTTGGCGAGTTCGTCGGATCTGAAACCCGTGTGGAGATGTGCGGGTTTCTGGGCATTGTACTAAAACAGCCCGGTCGCCTCGCCCCTCCACCATATTGGGTCAGCTGTCAGCCACCCTCGCCCCGCCGCCCCACCACGCCCAGTGGCGGCCGAGGTCGCGCCCTGCCTCCGTTCCTCATCTCCACACGAGCAAGGAGAGGTCGAAAATCATTGATGGGACCAACTCATGGGCCCCCCGCGGGGTTCTGTGTTGGAGGGAGGGCGAAGGTGAAGTTGGAGGAAGAAGAGAAGGAGAAGGGAGAAGGGAGAAGGGAAGAAGGAAGAAGAAGAGGAGAAGGAGGAATGGGAAGAGAGAGAAGAAGGGGAAAAGGAGAGAAGAAAGGGAAGAGGGGGAGGAGTACTCAAAGCCGCTCGACCTCATGGGAGAAGAAAGTGTTTAACTGACGCCCGACTCAACCCTAGGTAAAACTCTGTGATATGCAGTATGTGGTGTGTGGGCCTTCATGCAGTAAGTTGATATGAGGGCCTTCATGCCGTTGTGGTTGTCGGCCTTTCGTGTTGTGAATGTCGGCCATCGTGTCGCGTTTTTTTGTTTTGGAAACCTCCC